CCATGAAGCACCTTATATATGTAGTATCAGTGGTGTAGACGCAAAATGACTACTTTGAGGGCAGTCGTGGCCTAATGGTTAGAGAGTCTGACTTGTAACCCAAAGGTCACAGTTTCGAGTCGGATTGTAGGTGTGGGGAGTGAATGAACAGCACTCTCTTCCACCCTCAATACCCCGACTGAGGTGAGACCAATTGAGCAAGGCACTGAATGCCACAGCAAAAATGGCTGCCCACTGCTCCGGGTGTGTGTTCACGGTGTGTGTGTTCACTACTCACTGCTGTGTGTGTGCACTTGCATGGGTTAAATGCAGAGCCCAAATTCCGAGTATGGGACACCATACTTGGCCACACGTCACGTCACTTATGAAAACAAAGTCTTCAGACCTGAGCTGAGAATGTGAATGAGCTTGTCTTCATGATGTCCTTCTCATGCAGGGGGAAATCATCTATGAGAAGAATAATGCAATCCACTTGTTATTTGCAATTCAATCAGTGTGACTAACTAAAAACGGGAGATGTTTCAGTATCTGTCACCAATAGCAACACTGTTCTCCAGCTCCACGGAAGAAGAAGAGAATAGTTTGGGTGATTCAGCTCAATAAACAGCCTGCAGCACATGTTGTTTATTCCCTTATATATGGGTATAAATTAACATTTCTTCCTCTCATATTTCCCACAGGGTTTGGAATGACCACACCAGCCACAGTCGGTGGCAAAATCTTCCTGATCTTTTATGGCCTCATTGGCTGTGCAGCCACCATTTTATTTTTTAATCTGTTCTTGGAGAGAATGATAACAGTCTTGGCTTTTGTTCTCAAATCCTGCCATGAAGTCCAACGGCGACGCAAAGGAGTTTTACCTCACGACAGCAGACAAGACTCAAGCAATGCAAGGCTAAACAGTGAAGACAGTCTTGCGGGATGGAAGCCCTCAGTGTATTGTGTGATGTTGATCCTTTGTGTGGCAGCAATAATCATTTCTTGTTGTGCTTCGGCCATGTACTCCTCAATCGAGGGATGGGGATACTTGGATTCACTCTACTTCTGCTTTGTGGCATTTAGCACCATTGGTTTCGGGGATATGGTCAGCACCCAGCGGGCCAGTTACGAGAACCAAACCGTCTACAGAATTGGCAATTTCGTCTTTATTTTAATGGGCGTTTGCTGCATTTACTCGCTATTCAACGTCATCTCCATTGTCATCAAGCAGGTGCTCAATTGGCTCCTGAAAAAGCTCGAGATCCCATGCCGTCACTGCCCTGGGAGGTCTCTCCGGCCCCGTAGGAACGCAGTCATGCCGGGCCATGTCCGAACACGTGTTCGCAACATATCCATAGACACAGATGCAGTGAATGACAGTGAGACGGATGGACGCAGGATGTCTGGAGAGATGATCTCCATGAGAGACTTCCTGGCGGCTAATAAGGTGAACTTGGCGATCATGCAGAAACAACTGTCTGAGACTGCCAACGGCCATCCCAGGCCATGCGGGTCAACAAATAGACACAATGGATTTTCTGGTGGGGTCGGAGCCCTGGGCATAATGAATAATAGGCTTGCAGAAACCAGTGTGGACAGATAAATATAACCTTTACAAATAAAACGACACAATGGCTTTATGAAAAGCCAGATTGCAATGCCCATATAGCAACTATTACTTTTATAATACAGATGTAGGCTCATACACAAAGTCTGTTATGTGAGTTAAATGCTGTATAATTGAAATATCCATTGCTGGTGTAAAGGTAAAGAGAACGGAGAACTGAAGCTCAGGTGTGTTTCTAAGATTGATGTGCTGGGAGAGGCTTTGCTGCACAGAGATTTGACTCAAGCTCTCTTATGATTGCAGTTTTTGTTTTGTTTGTTTTTTTATTGGAGGATGTTGCAATCAGCTCGAGTACTTTGTATGACAAAAAAAAAAAAAAAAAACACACACTTAGACATTTCTTAAAATATATTTTTTATGTTCTTCAGAAGAAAGTCAAAGAAGTACTTTGTATAAAAAAAAAAAAAAAAAAAAAAGCACAGCACAGATGCCATGCTGGTAGATCTACAGTGGGGTCCAAAGTCTGAGACCACTAGTGTGAATGTATATTTTGCATTCTTTTTCATAAATAAATGTACATATTATACTATAAGCATTATAATTTTTATTATAATAATTTGCATGAAATGTAAACTGGAAAAAATGTACATGAATTTCATAATTTTTTAATTTCATAACTATTACTTGATAATAGTATAATATTACTTTGCTTGTCCCTCTTGGTTTTAATTGCTGCAGCACTTGAGCTGCATGAACCTTGGATCAGACGATCCAAAGAGCATCTTATGAACATCTGACCTTCTGTAGAGTCACACGATCAATGTCACAAATTAACTTATTTGATTAGTGACCTAGAAAATAGTTCTTAATCTTAAGTATTAAAAATTAAATATCATATATACACTATTAAAAATGTTGGAAGTTTTTTGTTAAAAAGATAATACTCATTCAGCAAGGATGCACTAAATTTACATTAAAAACATTTATAAACTTGCAAAATATTTCTATTTCAAATAAATTCTGTTATTTTGAACTTCATTTCATCAAGAATCCATAAAACGTTTTATCATGGTTTCCACAAAAATATTAAGCAGCACAACTGTTTGTAACAGTGATAATAAATGTTTCTAGAGTAGCAAATCAGCATATTAAAATGGTTTCTTAAATAAATACATACATACATCTGCAACTTTACCATCACAGGAATAAATTACATTCTAATTGAAATAATATTTTACATTATTACTGTTTTTACTGTATTTTTTATCAAATAAATGCACCCTTAAAAAAATTACTGACCCCGAACTTTTGAATATGCATGAATGGGGTCTGAGATTTTCATTGTGGTGTGAGACTTTGGACTCCTCTTTCTTTCGCTTCTGAGCATTACTTTTTAGGTTCTGCTGAAGGATCTATGTTATAAAGTGATGCAAATTACATTCATCTGCCAGTAACTTACTGTCCTCTTCACTGTGCAGGATGTAGATATGGGCATGAGGCATACGGTGTGACGGTTATGAGAGCCAAACAGCTCAAATGCCTTCTGTTTCATGACATTATACTGCAGATACTTCAGAGTGTCTAGCAGCTGTAGGCCTATAGAATTCATAAGTCAACATACTGATTGAATTGCTTAGGTATTTCAGATGAACTGAAACAAATGTTTGCACAGAACAAAACGAACCATGTCGTTTAGAGCTTTTCATGAAATATGTGCAATGCCAAAATTGGTATGATGCAGGACATCAGATCATTTTCTCCAGCACTTTGTATCTTGAGCTCTGAAATCTGCTTACTTTATTTTGAGATGAATGATTGTACCTATGTAGAGGTGTAATGCATGATGAATTAATAAAATATGCATTGCCAGATTTGCTGGTAAATCTTGTAAATGTGAAAATGGGTGTGTGACTGTGCGATGCGAATTATCATTTTGTACAACATGTATCTTTTTATTTACTTAATTTGATTTACTCTTTGTAATACTTTGGTCATAATTGACAATGATAACTATGTCTATTGGATGTATGAGCAACAAAGTGAGATTACTGTTGTGCAAATCGATATCTCATAATGCAGGCTGTTATTTGACTGAACAGCTGGTAAGTGAATATCCAGTTCTTTAGATTGGTGAGTGAGTCCTGTCATGTCTGTGTACGTGTGTCATCATGACATTCCCTCCATTCACATCTGTCAGACTTGTGGCCCTCACCAGCTTTCACACCCACTAGTGTCGATATGATTCTGCTGTCACTTCAGTGGAATCTCAGAGGTGATGTGAAAGCCAGCAAAAGCAACTCAGTGGATTTTCAGCCTGTTTCCAAGCAGCAAATGAAATAGATGTTTTCTAGCATATTCTCGTCTTCTTATTTGTTCGTTTTGTGCGTTCTGGGCTGTCAGAATTAGTGAGTGGATCAATGCACAAAGTCAATTATCCAAAACAGTCATATTGTTGCACGCCTAATGCACATTTCTTGCCCTGTTTGCACAATTACAATAGTATAATCGACTCAAGAAGCCCTGGGTTATTTGGCTGTGATTAGATTTTCAAACACATGCATATACATAAATCTAGGCTACAAATAAGCTTCACTGAACTCGAACACCCACCATGTTCATTACTGTATGGGGTAAGTTGTCATTAAATAGGTATTTCAGCTAATACTAAACAATTATGAAACACAAAACAAAAATGTAAGAGGTAACAAAAATATCAAACCATTGACCAACATTGTTTTTTGATAATATTATAAAATTGTCATTGGTAGTATAGCCTACCTACTTCTAAAGCAAGAAAATAAACGACAGAGAAATTTTGGAAGCGTTATACAGTGTTTGAGAATCATGTCATTTTAATGTGTTTTGCTGTGCTACCAGTAACGGTGGTATTGTGCACTAGGTCAATTCATAGTGATTGCGATAAATGTCCACTAGAGGGCGGTAGTATGTAATAAAACTAAATCCCCCTTGCAGGTGTTGTAAGAAATTTCTAGTACAGTCAAACATAACTTTTTATCTTCTTAAGTCATTTTTAAAGGTTTTTCCTCATACAAAATTAATATCTAATGAAATGCATTTTAGTCTTTCGTTAAAAGTACTATGTGGAATAAATAGTAAATATATATACTCTAAAGGTAAAAAAATACTTGTATCTCGTTGAAAACATACATCTGCGTGATTAGCTGAAAAATAATAATTAAAAAAATAATATTTCAGAAAAGAAAATTAAGAAATATAAGCAGTAAATCCCATATTCTGTCGTCACGTCCTCAGCGAATAAAAAGTCAGAAATGACATTTTTTGTCCGTGCAGCAGTTGGTGAAAAATGATCGACCATATTCCACTGGATTTGTAGTCCGGAGCTCGACGAACTCCCATTCAGTGTGACTATCCCGCCCGCCGAGAGAAACTACAACTCCCATGAAACCATCGCAGCGCTTCTGTTAATATCAATATGGCTTCTGTCAGTCAGACAAAGGCGAATCAGTTTATGCCTTGAAATGAAATCAAATTAGGGAAAGGTAGCGGGAGAGTCGGACATCGTCCTGTTTTGCTGGTTCATGTCTGGCGACGGGGATTAAAGGGACGGAAACACTGTCAGTTGAGTTTAATAAATGCTGTGGTGCACGGAGGCCCCGCTCGCGCACAATCAGGTAAGTCTGAGATGCCAAATTATAAGAAAGGCTTCATTTGTTAAATCTGTCTGGAGACATGAAATGTGCTTTCACGAGCAAATGACACTCGGGGGGGAAATTAGCTCGGTTCGACCGCTGGCTCGCATGTGAAGTCGCATCTGCTCTCATTCTGTGGTGGGATAGGGGTTTAGAAAAGATGCCAGCAACTGTGCAACAACTGACACTGTATTGACATTGGTGAAATCACTTAATAGCTGTGTTGATGCTCATCTCTTTGCATTTATTATTATTATGACTATTATTATTTATTTATATATTATCATGTTTTGTTTTAACAAGGTGCTGACTGCATTCTAGAGCTTTGTTATTTGGGTGTAGAGTGTGTAAATATTGGGCTAAGGTGACGTCTGGTGAATATGGGCTTGATAGTTCATGCAAATTATTATTATTATTTTCAATTGCAGTGATTTTTTAATTAGGGAAGGTGTCAAGGTGGCCCTATTAAGACCACCCAAATTCAGAGTTGTGCATTTTTTTTAAGATACTGTACGTTAATAGTTTTTCAATAAAGTGTGTGCATTATACGATTAATACAGTCCAAACACATTATTTTTGACATAAACTGATCAAATTAAATTGCTTAATTTACTTGCAAATATGATAAACCCAGAGCGTTTTTTGATGTATTGTACATGTGTATCTCATCATGCATTTTATTCTAAATGTTTCACATAACATTACATGAAATAGGATCATTTAGATGCATTTTTTGATTGACCAACCCGACAACCGCGAAAAAAGCTGATGAAGCTAAAATATGGATTGCTTTTTTTTTTTAGTATTTTGCACTTTTCAGCATTCAATTATAACCAAGGTCAGTCTGGATGTTTCTCTAGTCTTACCATGGTCCCTTCAACCTGTTCTTATCACTTACCTTATGACACTTTGCATTTTGTCTGGCTGAGCATCTTTCTGGAGTGTAGCTTTCATCCTCAGTCTCAGTTTCTTCATATCAACTCCATATTTCTTAGTCAGTGCAACAAGCTTGTGAGACTTTCCTTTTTTGGGCCGTATTATTTCATTTTCTCAGAGTGGCCAGTTTGTCCCTGCAATGAAAATAATGTAAGCAGGTAAAGTTTATAAAATAAAAGAATGTGTTTGAGCACAAATGAATTCAGTTAATGCTTTTATATGAGGTAAAGTGGCTCTTAGCTTAGTAGGCTTATATGAAGCAGGGAATAGGGGTTAATAGTGTACATTATGAGCATTCCTTATAAGCCCTTGTGACAAAAACATTGAATTTATGGATTATAATTACAGAGCTTTAAATCTTTTTTTTTTTTTTTTTTTGCTTGAATAGGTTGTATAATGTTTTCATTTAATATGATTATTAACCATTTTATTTCTCTTTTTTTTTTTTTTATAACTGTTGTTGTTCTACTGCATCTTTGTGAGCATCACTTAGGCGTTGTCATGTACTTGCTACTCATGATCTTTTAAACTGCAAAGTATTGCCTTTGAATGTCAGGAAAATAAATAATATCAGGATGCATTTGATTTATTATCTCTTAATTTGAACTGATCCCTTAATTTGAATTTTTATCAATATGCAGCCGACACTGGAAAAAAGCTTCTTCAGTGGCATCAACAGCTTTGATGCAGTTTTGTGTGACCTGAATATTCATTTTGTTTGTGTAATGTTAAGCCCACGGTTTCTGTAGATGTTTATCATATTCAATATATTTATAGAGATATAACTTTAATTGTAGAAGCACAGTGGTCTCTATTGTTCTTTACTTTCATTGATCAGTGGGCATGAAGGTCTAATAATTACCAGCTGTCAGTTACATATGTAATAGATGCAAGTTACATATGTAACAAATGGGCTGTAAAAAGTGTTTAAAATTGTAGAGAATAGAAGTAAAGGGAGATTTTGACTTTTTTTGGATGCTGTGCTGATGGAACAGAACCAGGGGCATATGGACAAAATCAACTTTGATCTTGAGCTGCTGTAAAACAGATGAGTTTACTGCAAACTGCTGCCTCAGTACTATAGTTTCAATACTATAATCTATAGATGCTTTTATGCTTTCATGCATATGTCAGATAAGACTATGAATATGCAAATAAAAGAAACAATGAGCAACTCTAAAACTCCTCAGAGCATTAAAACATTATTAAAATTGCATGCACACCAGTAGCCTTGCATTTAATGCTTGATATAGCAAGATTGCATCTCTCTTGATGATTGTTATTGTTAAAAGTAGCGATGCATTTTGCATTATTAAACATTTATTTGTGTTACTAGTTTCATGTGTGCAGGCCAGTTAACTGAGTTGGTTTGTCATCAAGTGACAGACAGTTTAATCTCAGCAGAAGCGGTTGTGCGTGCCTGTGGTTTAACACATCTCCAAATGGGCGATTTTGAATTCTTGTGTCACTGTGGTTCGGCTAGCTTATTCAAAACCAGATTTGATGTCTAAGGTGACACCTTTACATTTGGAATGTTTTGCATTCTCATATCAGAAAGCCTGATAATATATATGTGGTGCACGCATCAGTTGGACAATAGGGGATTGTTATTTTATGACTTGCATTGTTCAGTTTCTACCACTAAAGGCTTGTTACAAGCTTTGTGTATTGTTTTTTGGAAGATACAAAAAAAATGAATACTGAACAAATCCTTAAAACCTCCTAGATTTATTGTTGTTTTTGCTGATTTGCTGTATCTGATGCCTCTGGATAATTAAACCTTTTGAAGCTTTTTGAGGGTGCTTGTGTGAGCAGAAATCTTTTTTTATGCATTTTAATGCAGCGCAGACACCAGGAGACAGTCGTACTCGCTCATCAGCAGAATTTATTCTTGAAGAACATGTCGCAGGGAAGTTGAAGTCTTCATTTTGTTAAAAGGAGCCTCACCGTTTTCTCGTTTGCTTGATTGCATTACACTGTGCCATATGGAATGCATATTGCGCTGGCACGAGTTTTGCATTTGCAGCGTCATAAGTTGTAGCTTCCTTTTAAAACTCGAAATGAATTGAAAAACGGTGTGTTACGGGATAACAATTCAGCAGAAGCACGCGTGTGTGGGCAACAGCCTGGCATTGAGAGAACTATTTTCAGACAAACACCCGTACGGAGTGATTCATCCTCAGCTTCTTCACTGAATGTAGGTTAGCCGCCTCGGATGGAATTTTTCTTGGCAGTTTTCCCTAAAGTTAACCTCCTTCCCCCTCCTCATGTGTCCCAGCTTTCTGCTGTTTAAAGTCTATTAAAAATTCTGTGGTAATGCATGCAGTGTCTTTGCCTTGACCTCAGACAGGCTCCGCACTTCTGTTGCAATGATTGGTCGATAAAGGTGCGGTGACTTTGACTTTTTCTTGGAAAAAGAATGCTTCAGTTAGAGCTCATGCGCATGTGGCCCCTGCTACACCTCCTCCACTGCGTTTCCTAGACAAAAACATTGTTTTATTTTTAGTTTAGACCGTTATTATGACTTTTATACACCATGCAGTCATGTGTCGTGATTTATCAGCATGAGTTTAAGGATTTCCTCCAACATCAATTCTCTAATGCAGCAGCTCTCTCTCTTTTTCTTGGCAGAATGTCCCATTATACAGATGAGCCTCGTTTTACCATTGAGCAGATCGACTTGCTGCAGCGGCTACGTCAGAGCGGCATGACAAAGCAAGAGATCTTGCATGCCCTGGACACCCTCGACCGGCTAGACCGCGAGCATGTGGAGAAGTTCGGCCACCGGCACGCCAATAGCGGAAATGGGGCAGCCGGCATTAGTCACGGCAACGGCGTCAACGCCACCACCTCTTCCAACTACTGCACTACCTCCTCTAACAACCTCACAGCCTCTTCTTCGACGACCTCTACAGCCACGCAGACGGGTTACCGTGGCAACGGCCTCTCTCTATCCCCTAGCAACAGCTATGACACCTCCCCGCCCCCGACTGTCCCCACCCCCATGCCGGTAGTAGCACCGATGATCCAAAATGGACGGGACAGCCTCGCCGCTATGCCCAACGGGAAGCTCTCCCCACCCCGCTTCGCTGTTAGCAACACCTCCACGCGGGCCTTCGCTTTCGAGCACCCAGATGAGGAAGTGGACATCGATGATAAAGTCGAGGAGCTCATGAGGTGAGTGGGAAACACTCACGATAGGACAGTTCTCATTCAGATAAAAAAAAAGCTTTAAATATCCTGATTTGTATGTGTTGAACTTGAGGACGGCTACCATACAAAAACAATACATCACAATACATAAAAAAAATAAACCATGTCGTCCAATGATAAACCGTGTCACAAATAAACTCATCAGCCAAAAATGCCTCAATCATTAACACTGAATCTGACTAACTCAATTAAATAAACTGTGTATTTGGATGCTGCATCATACACTGTATAAACAAACTGTATAAAAGCGTCTGCTAAATGACTAAATAAATAAACAACAACAACAAAAAACAGTTTAGTCCAATTCATGAACAGTTGACTCTTATGAACAATTCTTTTAGATGAATCAATCAAAACGAGTGACACATGAATTCATCAGCTTAGAATGGCTCATTAACACTGAATCTGACTCACTCATTAACTTATACCATATCTGAACTAAAATAAAATGTATATTTGCAAAGCTTAAATTAATGTTATTAATACTGACTGGTTGTTGATATGACAACATATAAAGACAGGCATTAGGAACTTTTTTTGTTGTATTAAATGGTTCTTTAAGAAATGTTACCAAAAATAGTATTGATGTTTTTCATTTGATGTCTCTCTCTCTGTTGTTGTAGAATGGACAGTGCTATAATTAAAGAAGAGATTAAAGCGTTCTTGGGGAACCGGCGAATATCACAGGCAGTAGTTGCCCAAGTTACAGGTTAGTTTGCTCTGGCTTTTTGTTTTCCAAAATAAATAACATATATTGTGATTTATGCTGTGACCATGATGTAATGTTTCCCTATTTATTTTGTATAATAAAAAGAAGACCCGTTAAAGCACACCGTAATATTTTGTTACGTCGCTTCTAGCATAATGCTGTATTCCAGTAACATTTATACAGAAATGTCATCTGTATGGCTGCTTTTTATTACAGTTGTGGGATTTGTCAGCGCAGGCCTTCGAGAGGCATATGCAAGTCCGTTTTTGCTCTTATAAGCTGTGTGTCATTGTCTGCAGGTATCAGTCAGAGCCGGATCTCTCATTGGCTCCTCCAGCAGGGCTCAGACCTCAGCGGGCAGAAGAAAAGAGCCTTCTACCGCTGGTACCAACTAGAGAAAACTACACCTGGTAATACCCAACCCCAGTGTCATTTACCCATGTAGCACGTCCAACAACTTTCTAACGTTTCTGTCATCTAATAATAGCTCTAACTCTGAACTCAAGACATCACAATCACAAGACAAATTTGGCTGTAAAATGTGGTCTACCTATGTGTACTCAATGGACATATCATAATATCTATCATAATAGCAAGTAATATCAATACAGTGCTGCTTTGCACAACATTGCATACATTTTATATTATTATTATTATTATTTATTTTTGTATAGATTTCTATACAACACAATATGAAAAAAAATCATAATTCTGTATAAACCAAATCACATTTTGTGATTGTAAAATTGGGTAAAATTTCCAAATTTTTGTATTACTTGTGACATTACATGACATTAAATGGTGCTTTATATAAACCTTAAAAGGATAGCTCATCCAAAAATGAAAATTCTGTCATCATTTACTAACCCTCAAGTCGTAGTATGGAAAAAAATACTGTGGAAGTCAATGGCGACCATTAACTGTTTGGTTAGCAACATTCTTCAAAATATCTTCTGTTGTGTTCAGTAGAAGAAAGAAATTCATACAGGTTTGGAACAAATTGAGGTCAGAATTTTCATTTTTGGGTAAACTATCCCTTTAATATATGCATGTATGCAGCATTAAATAGCACTGGCAAAAAAAGTAATAAATTGTTTATTTGTGTTGGCCTGTATTAGTTTGACATGAGTCTTTCATCTCAGGAAATCTTGTGCTCCTTTAGTTTCATTTAGGCTGATCTGAGGAAAGATATCAGACATTCAGTGAATAGATTAGAAAGTCATGAATCATGACCCAAACCCCAGAGTGCCGGTTTTCTCATTATCATTTGCTTCCGGACACAGTGAAAAGGCTTTGGTCTACTAGAAAGTCTTTTCTCAGAAGCACGCAGACTGTTACCCTTATGAAACTTCATCTGAGATGACACGTCGTGTTTGTGTCCCAGGTGCAACACTAGCGATGCGGCCCACCCCGATGGCACTGGAGGACATTGTGGAGTGGCGTCAAACCCCTCCTCCCATTAGCAGCACCCAGGGCAGCTTCCGTCTGCGGCGTGGCAGCCGCTTCACCTGGAGGAAAGAGTGTCTGGCGGTGATGGAGAGGTGAGAGGATGTGGTAAATTGTGTCAGGACAGGTCACTGTAGGTCATTCCAGGATAATGGATGACCTTTTGATTTTGAAACAGTGATTTTTGAGGTAACACTTTACAAGAAAATTCCATTTAGTTAACTACATTAGTGAAAAATAATTCTAAATCATTGATCATTTTTTTATGTTAATGTTTATTAATACAGTAATAAAATTAAAAGTTATATTTGTTAACATTATTTAATGGACCTGAGTTGACATGAACTTACTGTAGAATGAACAGTTAGTGTTATTTGTTTTTAACGATTATTGTTTATTTGAATAATTACTTGAAGAAATGTAATCTTAATTGACAGACACACAAGACCTCACAAGATCATGCCATTGTTTTAATTCAATGTTAATGTTTATATTAATAATTGACTTTTTAAATACTTACTGTATTATACTTACTGTACATAGAGTTTGCTGTGGCATCATAACTGTTATCAAGAATTGTGAAATTTCACTGGTATTGATATTGATTATTGAAATGTTGGTATTGTGACAACTGTAAAACATAGTCATCCTAAAGCTAGACTGAATAAAGTCATGATGCATGTATATATTTAAAGCTATAAAAGGTTATCTGCCTTACGTTATGTTTATCTTATGTTTTCGCGCAAGTTATTTCAATGACAACCAGTACCCCGATGAAGCCAAACGAGAGGAAATTGCCAACGCCTGCAATGCAGTTATTCAGAAACCAGGTAGGATGTTTAAACACAACCTCCATAAATAAGATGAATGCATGTGTAAATGCCTGTTATCGTGGCCCCAGACACTATTGATGAGCTCTGCTGTGATTTGATTAAGGGAAGAAGCTTTCAGATCTTGAGAGGGTCACGTCTCTGAAAGTTTACAACTGGTTTGCCAACAGACGGAAGGAAATTAAGAGAAGAGCCAACATAGGTAATGTTGAAGCCCTCTGGGGACAGACAAAGCTCGAATTTCATGCAACAATGCATTTTGAATATGGACAATATAATTATTTCCATTGCATTGTTATCGCCATGCTGCAGCTGTCTCATTCAAAATGTGCATTCCTCAGAAATATTGAATTTACAGAAAAATGCCTTTCAGGAAACTCAGTTCCATCATGTTGGGTGTATCCTAATGGGCTCAGATATGTTATGGCAAGGTCTGTTTTTATATATATTTTTTATGATAGTATATGATTCATATATAATATATTTGATCATATATTAATTAAAAAATCCCAGCTAATACGGATTAACTAATAATTATTGTCATGTTATGGCTGATAATCACTAAATTATCATCAATATTGAAATTTTATGCTGTTTTGTAAATAAAATAAATCACTTTAAATGTTGTAAATTAATTTAGGAAAGACGGCAGAGGTAAATCTACATTTGAAAATGGGGGAAATGAACATGCACAATTAAATATTCAACATCAGCCAACATAAATCTAATAAATAAATAAATAAAATCTCTAAAATCGGCCAGTAACCAAACTGGTACCAATATACCATGAGTTGTATGAACTATTTCATGCTCCTTTCTCTTTTAACGACACAAAGTTATTCAAACAGGTTTGCGAGGCAAAAGCAGAGGGCTTCAGAACAATCTCTGGTTCTCTGCTTTCTTATAGGATGACAACCCTGGCCCAAACGAACACCAGGACCCCATAGCTTTGGCAGTGGAGATGGCCGCTGTCAATCACAGCATCCTGGCACTGGCGAGGCAGGGCGGAGCCAGCAGTGACATCAAAACAGAGGTGCTGGACGACGAGTGAGAATCTGCCCTTTGACGTGGAGCACGGAGGGAAGCCGAATGTGGGGTTACGCAATTAAGGCCAAACAGTTTGTGCGAAAACTATGATTATGAGGAATATGGCCAGGTCGTGGATGACCAAAGTGAATGCGGAGGTTATAAAGACTGTTAACCCAACATTCCCCCCTTCCACCTCTCTCCTACGTATGATGCCTCAATAGTCTTCATTAAAACCGTTCTCCTACACGCAGCAGGTTGGGGAGGCACTGCGATTAAACTGTTGATGAAACAGGTTCACTAAAAACTTCATGCGACATATCACCCTGCCATCTCACACTTGGATAGTGAATTTCACCTCTGTTTTTCCTTCTTTCAGGAAGTCTTCTTTGCAGGATATAAGAGGTCAGTATCATACTAAATGCTCACTGCCTCAGTCTCTCCAGGGAAAGTGTGTTGGGAAGCATATTCTCTCTCACTTCTTAACTTATTTCTTTATGTGTGTGCAGTCCAGCGTTGCTGAAATTGCGTTTAAACATGTACAGTTGTCACCAGGGTCTAAAGTTAACACTCGCCTACCACCAAATGTGTACCTGCAGCTTTGCGAAGTCTGCTTCGCCAAGCAGTAGCAGAAGTGCAAAATAGTTATGTGATTCAAAATGGACTGTTTTAGTAATTAGTCTTAAGGAAGTCTTGAACATGTTTATTTTTGGGAGTCTATGTAAAATGTGTTTTTGCATTCAAAAACAGCTCTTGGTTTGGACATGGTTTTAAAAACGTTTACATTTTTATGTTTAAATAACATTATTTTAAAAGTTATTTTAACTTCATATGTTGTCTTAAAAATGGCTGAGACACTCAAAAAAAACCATTGTGATACACAGTGCAACAGCCAAAGACGTCTTTCTGAATGTGTATAGCTGTGGTGTAGTGTTTAAACAAGGTGAATTTAAAGACGCAACTCCTCTGGATGAGTTTCACCGTGCAAAATGTCGTATAGCTAATGTGTAGCATGCTAATTAAAGCATCACCACTTAAATATCTCAACTAAAAGCAAAAATAATAATGTAAATGTAATAATTGGTTGTTGGATGATTAGTTGTAACTCATAACTAAACATATTACTATCTTAAAGGAATAGTTCACCCAAAAATTAAAACACTCCGAACACAACACTTTGACACAATCAAAGATGTAGATGAGTTTGTTTCTTCATCGGAACAGATTTGGAGAAATATAGCATTACATCACTTGCTCACCAGTGGAGCTACGGCAGTGAATGGGTGCCATCAAAATGAGAGTCCAAACAGCTGATAAAAACATTACAATAATCCACAAGTAACCCACATGACTCCAGTCCATCAATTAATGTCTTATGAAGCGAAAAGCTGCATGTTTGTAAGAAACATATCCATCATTAAGATATGTTTAACTTTGAAGCAATGCTAAATTTCTCCAAATCTGTTCCGACGAAGAAACAAACATCTTCATCTTAGATGACCTGAGAGTGAGTACATTTTCTGCAAAAATTCATTTTTTCATGAATTAATTTCAGTTCCTTTAAGAGCGTCATTCCTGGCAGTCGCTAATCAATGGTATCTGTTGCGATTTGCACGTTTTGTCACTAAATTTAGTTGCCACTGTGACAAGAATAGTTTAAGTAAAACAAAGTACAGTTTTATGAGCAGTATGAAATACTTGTAGTCATGAAATTGGCAAAATGTTAATTCTGGACCCTGGTTGTCAGCGTAAAAGTTGCATAGGACTGTTTTTGCAGTACCATAACCGACCGGCCTGCTGGCTTCAGCAATTACGTATTGCACTTTTAATTACTAGCGGCAGCTTATTTATGTTCCTGCCACTACACAACTGTGCATCTCTGCAGGGAGGCATTGAAGGCAGTCTGGAAACTGAAGCCTACTCGTGAAGATTGTGCCATTATATTTCAGCATTAGCAGACTAGAAATTCAGTCGGGCTCTTCTGCAGGCCTCTCTAAAAGCAATCAGACAACAGCCGTTTATTTGAACGTAAATAACCTCAAAGTGTTCTACTCAGCCAATAACCGTGCAAACGTTTCAGCAGCACGAGGCTGGAAAATGTTGTAGCATTGGGAATTCCGGTCTCAGCGAGCGGGAAAACACTTGACAATCAGGGTGACGACGTTCCAATACAAAAAACCTGTTGGTGTTTGCCCACGTGTCCAAAAAATGGGTTTCTCTGGAAAGTAATGACATCTAAAGTCCCTTTGATGGGGATTGATAACCGTTATTTCTGCAATTAAAGTGGATTTAACCACTCTAATAATTATCCATGTAATTGATTTAGTTTTTTGTTGAATATTCACAAAATGTCACTTTAAGGGGGAGGGTTTTATTTCTGCAATTAAAGTGGATTTAACCACTCTAATAATTATCCATGTAATTGATTGTTTGTTTTGTGTTGAATATTCACAAAATGTCACTTTAAGGGGGAGGGTTATGGTGCTTTGGGTTCTTTACCCCAACATACATATAGATATTTTTTTGTTTCATAAGGTACTGTTTCAAAGAAAGAAGATAAGAGGGATGGACTAGTTCAGGTTATTTTTATTTGTGCTTCAGAATTAAAATATGGTGCTTGTTTTAAAAAAGGAAAGGAGATACTAACCACATGTCCTCTCCCACCTTTTACAGTCTTTCCTCTTTGTCTTTTAGGAAGCTGCTTTCTGTGTGTAATGCACATCATTGCAGTCACAAATAAGCTTTTTTTTTTTAGACGTATCAAAATAGCTATCGGATGACAAACCTGTGAAAAGTATCAGCTGCTTCAAATGTTCTTTCAGAATGTCTGAAATACCATTTCAACTCATCAACACACCTTTGTTCCCACTGAGCGTAAGATATCAGTCGATGAGATCGCCACTAGCTAACTAACAAGCTCGTATTTAAAAAGTCAGTCGCAGCCGAACGTGAATTTTGAACATGGGCTTCAGCCTTAATGCAAGTATTTTTAAGCACTTAAATGACAGAATGTGTCAAATCTGTCGACGCGTCATTTCTGTGAAAATTAACTGTTGATAATGCTGTTTAAGTTAACGTTATGGTAATATTCCTAAATACATTTATTCCGTAAATCTACACAAGCTTAACATAAATGTACCGAGTCTATTTGCTAAAATATGTATCGAAAGAATATTGTATGTTAGGAGAGATTATTAATTGGAGATGAAATTTCTCGCTTTAGTAAATTCTGCTAAGCAGATAAATCCATCAAATGAGACATTATTTGTTTCTTTAGTTATGTCTTGTAATTTGGTTGAACGGTCAGTTAAAACATGTTATTTGAGTTCTCAATTAAATCAAATACAATCTGTACCTTTATAAGGGTGACCAGGGCTAGTTGACATTTACTTCAGTGAATATTTGACAGGGTGTGATTATTGCTGAAAGTTAATTGTTACTGTATATGAGTCAAACTACAGACTCTAACAGAGCTTGTCACATTGGGAACATGCGGTGTATTAACTGATTTGAGAAAAACACCATTTACAAAATATATATATATACTCTCTTAAAAATAATATTAAACATCACATTAAATATGTATTATTACAAATACATATTTATATTTAAAATATATTATTATTGATTGTTGGCTTTTCAGGGGAAAATTTTAATCAATAAAAATATCAAGCAAATTCTATTAGCTTTGGCTAATAGAAATTGTAATGAAATTATATAAAACTACAACATAAAACGTGACAACTTGCCCCAACCTGAATTTTGAACCTAAATTTTGTTTTCTTTTTATAAATATATATATATCAGTAAAAATTTAAATATCAAGCAAAAATATCAAATAAATGGTTTGGCTAACAGAAATTTAAATTGTATAAAATTACAGCTTGCTCCAACTGAATTCCAAATCTGAAAAATAAGTTTTACATCCGTTTAAAGTCAATTTTTGACTCAATTTTATTTTTGTAATTACTGAAATATAATCCTTGTGATAATTTCCCTACGTGACAACTAGCCCCGGTCTCTGTTTTATATTTCAAAGCTTTTCATTAAACCGCCGTCAAAATATTAGATGCTATAATAGCGAGACAATGAACATTGCAAACTGCCAATCTTACTTTCATTTGCCAACCCAAATCTGAGCGTGAAGTTTCATGAGCTTGCACAGCAATCATGTAGTCTTGTACATTATATCATAAGATAAAGACAGTCCAATCTTACTAACACAGAGTCCCTCAGTAAACGCTTTCTTAGAAACAGTATTGAGGCACAATGTGATGATGGACTAGTGCCCAGTCAGTTACCCAGGAGTCTTTATTAAGCTAATGTCGGAATGTGTTTGGAACAGAAATCTGTCGTGAAAGAATGAGGGAACACTTTGACTGTGTTTTTAATCTGTCCATGTTCAATATGTGAATATATTAAATATATATAAATATATTCTATGAGTATAAAAAATATATCACTGTTGTATTAACTTGAAATAGTCTAATCATGTATCTCTTATTACAGAATTTAGTGCCTTTTTTGGACAGTAGACTGTTCTGTAATTAATGTAGTATAAAACGCATATGCTTTGTTACTTTTTTAAGTTTTGTTTTGACACCTTTGTTCATTCAAAAAAAAAAATAATTGTTTTTTATTTTAGAACTGTACCTTCTAGAGAATAAAGACTTAATGAGCCGAAAGACACTGGCTGATTGTACAACTTTTTTTTACAGCACTCCGGAATTATACAATTATGCAAATTCTGAATTATATTCCTAATTCTGAAATTGTAACAGGATTGTTCTTTGAAGACAATCATTTGATATAAATATGTGCAGCTGCTCTTTTCCATACAGCGAAGAAAAAAAAAAAAATTGGCTGTCAATTTGTTTGAAAGAAAAAAAAAATACAAATGTCAAAATTTGAACATAGTAATTAAAAATAGTAATAAGACAAATGTGTAAATCAGGTCACTTTTAATTTTTTTCTTTACAGCCAGATTAATGTACAGTCAATATAAAAGAAATTATAAATGAACTATTATACATGATTATTCTTTGGATATCAGCATAGAATTGCAGATAAATTACTCAAACCCAGCCTTGTGCTCAGATTGAACTCTCAAGATGCAACTATATACAAAACACACACACACACACACACACACACACACACACACACACACACACACACACACACACACACACGTATACTCTGGGTTCAAACGCTCCATATTCGGGACAACTTTCATGACAAAATCATCAGGACGAGGCACAGACTAGTAGTGAAACTCTGCTCAAAAAAAGGGAGGGAGAAACAAAACAAAAAAAACTACAGAAGTAGAGCAGCAACTTCCCGCCAAGAGCTTCGTCTGACATCTGTGTAAACAGCAGGGCCCAAAGCTTCCTTCAAAACATCTCTCTCCTGATGCCCTTAACGGGAAGGATTTCAAACAGGACTAAAGCACGAGTCTCCACACCTGGATTTAGTATTTCACTTCAAAAGGCCACTGTGTGGTTGCTCAGATATGGCTCTGGATCTATGTCATTTATGACTGATCAAGGTGTCATTTCTGCTACTGAAGACCTGCTTATGTTGAACAGAATGAA